GGCGTAGTACTAACAGCGGAAGCCACATCTCGCCTCTCGCCAAGATGTGGTCGAGAACTACACACGACTTGAAGGTCGGTGGAGTTGCCGTGGATGACTAGGAGGACCGACCTCTTGTGCCACAGCATCTCTGTAACTCCATCCAGATGTGCGATGGAAGAGATGGAAGGGGAGGACAAAGACTACCGCCATACTAAAGCCACCGGCCAACAGACCCCTTTTGTCAATGGATGTCAAAGGCCTGAAAAACATTTCCATTTCCATGTTGCTACGCACTCATTCGGGGCGGCGGACATTGGCGATGCAGGGTGATGCAGCAAATTGTGGTATCCCGTTCCGAGTAATACATGCAGAAATGCCTGCGGCTGAGTTGGGGAGACAGGCATCGTCTATGGAGCCACGGTCGGCTCACCTCTTGACCTTTCATTAAACGATGCAGCACTTCGCACGGGACAGTCATGACCATAAAACTAGGCTCAAAACGTTTAACTGGATTGTAGATGATCTTTGTGTTGGGTCCCTTGCCCCTGCTTTAGGATGCCCCAAAAAACCCATGCCTAGTTTGTATGCGGTGCAAATCAAGTACTAATACGTAAACACTCTCCTTTTTTGCTAGGGAACATTTCAGAGTCTTGAGCGTGCTAATACTGACAAGGCATGCGGTTGTGCCACACAACGAAGGAGTCGGTGCCTGTGACACGGCCACTGCCCTACGGGAGTGAAAGGCGCGAGCGAGAGATTGCGATATCTGACAACTGCAAGATATTATGCAAGTGTTAGTCCCCGTCACCCATCGTTCTGACGCCCGAAGCAGCAAGATGCGGTGCGTCCAGACCTGCAAGACTTGGCCAATTACAAAGGGCCGTCGCTCGGTCGGAACATCACCAGTAACAAAAACATGATCCACTCGTCGCATCTCAGTCTTGACATTACATATGCCCTTGTTCGTATGGGTTCTTGGGATTGGCGATGGTCTAAGACACTCACTCGAAGGGTGGCCAACCAGGCGCGGTGCAGGTAGATAGCTGTAGTTGGGAATGCAGAAGGCGGCCGAAGCCATATATTTAGCGACAAACAATGTCTACTCGCTAGTGTATGGTATGGAGCACAAACAAAATTCCTTGAAGCGGAATTGTTGTTGGTCGCGAGTCTGACAGCTACCTAGGTACCTAGGTAGTTATTGGGCTACAAAAGCAGGGGTGGGTGAGTGAAGCTGCATGTCACAGAGTACGGAGTACACTCATTACATACTTGAGTCTAGTACATACATACATACATACATGGCATACGGAGTATTCGCAACGAAAATGTGACAAAGAGGACATGGCGAGAATGAGCACAAGCCTAAGCCATTCTGCGTGGGGTTATGATAATAGGACAGGACGCTAATTACAGAGTACGCCGTTCTATTTACGCCAAGTCCGCAATATGGAAGATGTTCTGGAAATGATGACACAGGTGACGGAACACGAGAAGTTATCTCAAGTCAACAAAAAAATAAAAATAAAAACAAGCCAAGTAAAAGAGTGAGCGAAAGAAAGTCGCACAATCAGATTGCATGCCTTGGCCAGAGGGTAACACTCGTAGTACCAAGTAATCATTCGTAGCAGTACAATGAGACGCCAGCTAAGAATAACCATGTAAGTGTGCATCTTGCGGGCGCTGGAATGCATCGATTGATGAGACAACAGACACGGACAGCTCCGTACTGGCCGACGCACTTGTAATCTATGTACACCAAAATGTCGGTCTCTGCTATTTCCCTATCAGGTACTCCGTACCAGCTATGTAACCACCTTGGGGACCTGAGCCTGCGGCCATGATGGCTTTCTGGGAGATGATTGCTTGCACAAGTCCGAGGGCCCTGCCCAGTCGCGTCCACGTCCAGTCGAGGCCCAATCCCGTGTGCAGTTTTGATCCGGTGATTGATAACCCCGTACTCGTGTCAGAGTCAGCATGCTTTAACCTGGCCTTGCGGAGAAGAGGCCGACATCAGCATGTTTATAAACAATACAGAAAGGGATGCGACCATGGACGTCTTGAACGGGGTGACGGCTGGGGGCCAACCGTTCACTGGCTGCCGGGAGAGACAGTGATGTGCCACGGTGTTTAGAGAGCAGGCGGGGGGACGTGGCAAGAAGAAGGGGGGGGGGGGGGGGGGGGGTGTGGGCGCG